TCCCCACCTTTGCGTTGGCTATACCCCCTAATCCCCAGCCTATGTATTCCCTTCTCACCTCTGCCTTTTGGAATGTTTCATTTCCTTCAAAGATCAACTCAAGCGCTGCCCTCTGCATGAGGCCTTTCTAGATGCTTCCCCCCACCATGCCCCCAGCTACTGGTGCCTCACACTCCCAAAATTACCTTTAATTTACACAGAGTTAATTTATTGACATATAGTTGTATATTTTTGTAATTATATTTTATATAGTTATAGTTATATATTTATACATTTAATTTATACATGATATATAAAACTATGTATAAATTTTACATATTATATATATATGTGTGTGTGTGTGTGTGTGTGTGTGTGTGTGTGTATATATATATGTTTATTGAAGTTACAAGTTTTATATATACATATATATGTTTATTGAAGTTATAAATTTTAAGCCTAAAGATAGATATGCCTTAGGTAGGTTTTAGGTATTCTCCCCCTCCTTCCTCTAATAGAAGGTAAACTCCTTGAGGCCAGAGGCTTTTGCTCCCATCTTTGCACAGATAGGTGGTAAAGGGGCCCCTAGGTGGCAAAGTGGGTGGATAGAGTGAAGAAGGAGTCATGAAGACCTGAGTTCAAATCTGCCTTCAGATACTTACTAGCTGTGTGACTCTGGGCAAATCACTTCATCCTATTTGCCTCAGTTTCCTCATCTGTAAAATGAGCTGGAGAAGGCAATGGCAAACTGTCCCAGTATCTTTGCTGAGGAAACCACACCTACCCGTTCCCTTTGTCCTAGGCAGCACTGTCCAGCATGTAGCAGGCTCTTAAATGTTTGACTGCTTAGCATTGTAAGTAGTTATAGATTCCCTTCATTTTACAGATGAGGAAACTGAGGTTCACAGAAGTAGAGTCATGAGCCCAGGGGCACATGGACTAGTAAGCATCCGAGGCAAGATTTGAGCCCATGTCTTCCTGTTTCCGAGGTCATCGCTCTGGTCCCCACTCGCTCTCGGAGCTCCCTTCTGCTGCAGAGATGCTGATTTGGGGAATGCTGTGCGAATCTGTTATAAGGGAATGAGGGAGTGTTTGGAGTAGGAAGACGCCTCAGAAACAATCTAGTCCAACCTCATTCATTTTAGGGAAGAAGGGAAAAGGTATTTCTATAGCACTTACTACATGCCAGGCATTAGGCTAAGGACTGGCTGTTATTATCTACTTGGCATTCACAATAACCCTGGCAGGCAGGTGCTGTTATTATCCCCACCTTTGTGGCAAGGGAAATGAGGTGAAATGACCTGCTTAGGGTCACACAGCTAAGTAAGTATCTGAGGCTGGATTTGAACTCTAATCTTCCCGACCCCAGGCCCAGCTTTATATCCGCTTCACCACCCAGCTGACTACAGCATTTATTAAACACCTATTAAGTGCCAGGCACTGTGCTACGGGCTTTGCATATGCCTCATCTGATCCTTGTAACAGCTCTGTCGGGTGGATGTTATTATTTATCTTACAAAGGAGAAAACTGAGGCCCAGAGAGAAGTGAACTAAGATGGAAAAGCAGGTTGTAGCAAAACTGAGACTTCAACCCAGGTTTCCTGACTCCCTAAGAGCCTCAGAGCTCTTTCCCCAATACCACACTGACTGGATATGGCTGCTTTGAGATAAGAAGCTTCTCCTCTGGGCCCTTGCTCCTGCCTTGTCTTTTAGACTGCAGGTCAGGCCAGACCTGGCGACTCAAAGCCTTATGGGGCAGAAGGATATTTCAGCTCCCTTCCTTGCCTCAGTGGACCTCTTGTATTCCTGCTTCCTCAAAGAGCCCCAAAGTCATCTGGCCCCAGTGCACAAGGTCTGCTCCCCCAATTTGTTGGAAAACAAGAAGGGAGCCCTGGAGTGGCTTTTTTTTTGTTAAGAAAAGGCATACTACTTAGTATGCTGCATTCAGGGGGGAAACTGAGGCCCTGGGCTCTCTGTTTCCAATCCCCTGCTCACTTCTCCACTAGGTTTCCTTCTGGCCACCTGCAGTCCCAGAGAAGAGGGCTCGCCTCACCATGAACTCACTGCCTGGTGGGGCACATAAAACCCATTCCATCTACAGAAACATCGAGGTCATGATCCATCTGCAGAACCTGGGGACCTTGGTTTAAACCCCAGAGATGTGACCTGAGGGCAGCTGTTGTGGTGGTCCAGTTGTTTTCAGGGGTATCAAACTCCTTGTCCCCCAATTTGGGTTTTTTTTGTTTTTTGGTTTTTGGTTTTTTGCTAGGCAAGGGGGTTAAGTGACTTGCCCAGGGTCACACAGCTAGTAAGTGTCAAGTGTTTGGTCTGTGGCCGGATTTGAACTCAGGTACTCCTGACTTCAGGGCCGGTGCTCTACCCTCTGTGCCACCTAGCTGCCTCCATTTGGGGTTTTCTTGGCAAAGATACTGGACTGGCTTGCCATTTCCTTCTCCATCTCCTTTGACAGATGAGGAAACTGAGGTTCACAGAGGTAGAGTCACAAGCCCAGGGGCACGTAGCTAGTCAATGTCTGAAGTCACAGTTGCACTCCGGTCTTCCCGACTCCAGGCCTGGCACTCTGCACTATGGCACCACCTAGCTGCCTTGAGGCCAATCACTTCCCCTGAGTTTTCTCCACTGTAAAATGATGAGGTTGGAAACTATAGTGTGGCGGGGTTAGGGAACCTGGGTTCAAATCCACCTCTGACTCCTCTTACTACCTATGTGACCCAGGGCAAATCACTTAAGCTCCCTAGACCTTAGTTTCTTCCTTTGCAAAATGAGGGGGTTGATATAATCAGCTTCTGAGGTCTCTGTCCACTCTAGCTCTAGGATTCTAAGCCTCTTTGCCTCTCTGTGCCTCAGTTTCCTCATCTGCAAAATGGGTATAATCATAGCACCTCCCTCTCAGGGCTGTTGTGAGGATAGAATGAGACAACAGTTGTAAAAATGCCAGTTATAATGACAATTATTATTATTATTATTGTCATCATCATCATCATCATCACCCAGTAAGGATAGGAGGCAGGATCTGAAGTGAGGTCCCTTAATTCCAAGTCTAAAGCTCTACCCACCATCACATACAGAACAAAAGGGACCTCACTTCAGCTCTTTAAATGCTAACAGGAAAGGTGGTATTAACCATAGCAGATCCAGGGCTCAGGGTCTGAACCACTGGACCCCTCCAACAGCACTGTTGGATTCTGGGCTCCTCACAACTATTTCTCTCGGCAATAACATGTCTTGAGATGTGGCAGGTCATGCTGGATAGAGACCTGGGCTGTAAAAGATCTCAGTTCAAATCCTGTCCCTGGCCCTTCCTAGCTGGGTCACCCTGTTATAGCATGTAAGCTCTATTTAATTTATACAATTCCAATGGACTTCAAATTGGGTCATAGACAAGCTGTGATCTGTATCAGGAGGAGGAGTTCCCCACGTTGGCTTTTCCCCTACTCCTTTTCTGTTATGACTCTTAGAATCCTTGGTTTCAGGGTAGCTAGGTGGTGCAGTGGATACAGTACTAGCCCCGGACTCAGGAGTACCTGAGTTCAAATCCAGCCTCAGACACATAACACTTACTAGCTGTGTGACCCTGGGCAAGTCTCTTAACCCTATTGCCCAACAACAACAACAACAACAGATCCTTGGTTTCTTTCAAGGCTTGGCCCAGGTACTGCCTCCTATGGGACATTTTCCCAGATCTCCACCAGTTGTGAGTGGTCATTCTTTGCTGAAATTAGTCTATATGTAGTTTGCATTCGGAAGGCAGCTAGGTGGTGCAGTGGACAGAGAGCTAGGTCTGGAGTCAGGAAGACCTGAGTTTAAATCTGACCTCAGATATTTACTAGCTGTGTGACCCTGGGCAAGTCACTTGATCCTGTTTGCCTCAGTTTCCTCATCTGTAAAAATGAGCTGGAGAAGGAAATGGCAAACCACTCCAGTATCTTGGCCAAGAAAACTCCATAGACAGTATTGTCTGTGGGGCCACAAAGAGGCAGACACAATTGAACAACTGAACAATGACTTTGAATTCATTTATGCCCCATGCTACCTGCCTCAGCCTCCCCCATCCCCTAGGGAAACAGAAAGTCCTCGAGGAGCCTTAGATTTAGTTTTGTCTTCCTACGCCTCCTGCCTAGAACAATACCTGGCACACCGTAGGTGTTTAATCAATATTTCGTGAATTGGACTGAATTGACAGGACCTTCTTGAGTGAAATTTATGTCAATGTCTTAAGATCACTGATTTAGAGCTGAAAGTGATGGAAGAGGTCATCAAATCCAACTCCACAGTTTTACAGATAAGGCAACTGAGGCTCAGAGAGGCTATTCCCAAGGTCACAAAGGTAGCAAACAGCAGGGCTGGATTTTAACCAGGTCCTCTGACTCCAAATCCAGCTTTTCTCTAGTGTGTTCATGTGTCGAGGGCTGCCTAGACAGTGGCTTATTCTACACAATGACCACGAAGATGTTAAGACCCTACACTATTATTATTGTTGCTGTTGTTACACTCTGAATTACCTCTCCCCGTTGGCCGGAGTAGAGTAAGGGGAGGGCCAGATCCTACTTAACCTCTGTTTGCCTCAGTTTTCCTAACTGTAAAATAGGGATAGCACCTAATTCCCAAGGTGGCTGTGAGATAAAAATGAGATATTTGTAAAGTGCTTAACACAATGCCTGACACGTAGTAGATGCCATATAAATGCTAATTATTGCTGTTGCTGCTGCTGTTATTAATATTATTCTACTTTTTACTACTACTACTACTACTACTACTACTACTACTATCTACCACACTTCTACCATTACTATCACCACCACTACTACTACCACGACCATTACTACTACTATTATTATTACTACTACCACCATTACTACTACTGCTACCGCTACTGCTACAACTCTTTATCCTCACTCCCCATTGGTTATAACAGAACAAGAGGAGGGCCAGACCCTACATTCTTTATTCCCTCTCCCCATTGGCTGGAGCACAGCAGGGGGAGGGCCAGAGCATCTTACCATAGCCAGCTCAGCCTCAAGCTCCTTCATTCTGTTGTCCTTCAGGTCCAGCTGTGAGCGCAGGGATGTGGCATGGTCTGTAGCTTCTTTGGCTTGCCGGCGCAGCTCCCACTTCTCCCGCTCCAAAAGGTCCTTCTCTTTTGCCAGGGCTTTGACCGCATCCTCACTCTCCTGTGGAAAGAAAGCAATGACAGGCATTAAAGGAGCTCAAGAGCATCTCCTCTGGGCTCAGTCGGGTCTTCTTCACATGCAAGTGTCCAGAGTGGAGCACTGCTCTGTAGCTGGGGCCCGAGGACTATCCACTCCTTATTCTTGGATAGCATGTTTCTCCATACCAGCCAAGTGCGTGGTCAGTAAACACTTTCTAAGTGCCTACTACGTATGTGCTAGGCACTGTGGTAGTCACTGAAGTATACAAGGATGAAGAATGAGGAGCTCATATTCTGTTAGCTGCATTAGCCATATCACACTGTTACCTCCTTCTGTGGGCTATGAAATTTGAGGCCCTCCCTGAAGTAAAGGGGAAGAGATGGAGGGGGCTAGCAGCCAATGTCTGAAGAAAAAGGGAAATAGGGCTTGACCTTCCAAAAGGGGAGGCAGGATGGCATTACGGAGGGGGTGTTGATAGAACTTGGAGTCAAGAAGACCTGTGTTGTAATCTCACCTCAAGAATTTACTACCTTTGTGACTCTGGGAAAGTCACTCAATCTCTCTGTTGCCTCAGTTTCCTTATCTGTAAAATGAGGAGATTAGACTTGATAGTTTCTAAAGTCCTTTCCAACTTTAAATCTATGATCTTATGGTCCTAAGTCAATGGGCCAGACTCAATGGTTTTAAAGGTCCTCTTCAGTTCTATATCCATGACCCTACGAATTTTAATCACTGATCAACATTGAGTGGACATTGAGATACTCCTGGCCCCCTTCCCTCACATTAGGCCACATATACACTTTCTCCTCTGTTTCCCCACCCCTTCTTTCTCCTAAGCATGGGAATTGCTTTCTCATGGGGAGAAAGAGGAATCAATCTCACAGTTGAATGACCTTGCCCCCTCCCCTAGATAAAGTAAACAAACTCCAAGCTGGGTTTTCACTGTGCTCATTCAAAGGTATTTCTGGATGGCTACGACCCCCTTGGGATAAAGGAGAGCCTCCAGTTCAGCTAAATCTGGGGCCCCTAGGGGTTGCCTCTGGCAGTGACTTTTTCCCCTCATCAACTTCTCAGTCAGAAGCTGACCCTAACACATCACAGTGGGAAGGAGATGGGGGGAGTGTGTGTGTGTGTGTGTGTGTGTGTGTGTGTGTGTGTGTGAGAGAGAGAGAGAGAGAGAGACAGAGAGACAGAGACAGAGACAGAGAGACAGAGACAGAGACAAATAGACATGGAGACAGAGATAAAGTTAGCTTAGATCTGGAGTTCTTAACCTTTTATCAGAACAAGGTTTTAGAATAACTGAACAAAGTATTTTTTTTAGTGGAAGAAAATCTGAAGCTAAAGGTTGTTCTACTGGGGAACAGCTAAACAATTTGTGGCATATGAATGTAACAGAATACTATTATATTCTAAGAAATGACGAAATGGACAATTTCAGAGGAAACTGGGAAGACCTTTATCAACTGATGCAAGATGAAGTGAGTGGAACCAGGAGACTGAGAACAATAATTTTCAAAGACTTTAGAACTCTTACCAATTCAATGATAAAATGAGACTAAATGAATGAAGATATAACAATGAATGAGGGGGGGAGAAAAGAATTTAAAAGGCAGAGGAAGACGTACATTCTTAGACATGGCTACTTTGTGGTAATTTGTTTTGCTCAACTATGTAGCTATGTACTGAAAGGTTTGTTTTTCTTTTTTAAAAAAAATGCTCAGTTGGAAGAGGCGGGTAGTGGGAGGTCAAATCAATTTTAAAAGTACGTGTCAAAGGACTATAAAACTGTGCATACCCTTTGATCCAGCAATACCACTGCTAGATCTATACTACAAAGACATCCAGAAAAAGGGAAAAGGACCTATTTGTACAAAAATATTTACAGCAGCTCTTTGTGTGGTGGGTAAGAATTGGAAATCAAAGGGATGTCCATCAATTGGGGAATGGATAAAAAGCTATGGTATGTGATTGTAATGGAATATTATTGTGCTAGAAGAAATGACAAGCAGGATGATTTCAGAAAAACCTGGAAAGACTTACATGAACTGATGTATAATGAAGTGAACAGAACCAGGAGAACATTGTACACAGTAACAGCAACACTGTATGATGAAGATTGTGAATGACTTAGCTATTCTCAGCAATACAATGATCTAAGACAATCCCCAAAGGACTAATGATGACACATACTGTCTGCTTCTAGAGAAAGAACTCACATTGATTGAATACAGACTAACACATGCTATTTTTCACTCTCTTTCTTTCATTCTTTTTCTTTTATTTAAGTCTTCTTGTGCAAAATGACTAATACAGAAATGTTTTACAAAGCTGCACATGTATAACCTATATCTGATTGCTTACTGTCTCGGGGAGGGGAGAGAAGGGAAGGGAGGGATAGAATTTGGAACTCAAAACTTTAAATAAAAATGTTAAAAAAAAAGCTGGGGAGGGAGTACAAATAAAAATAATAAACAATTTAAAAATACTTGAAGGAAATGCTAAATTTCAGTTGCAGGTTAGTGAAAATAAAGATAAACATTTTTTCAGTCTAAATTCATGAATACCCTGAAATTTATCCATGTGGATCTCTGGTCAAGGATCCTTGCCATAGTGAAAGGCAGCCAGCCCACTTTTCACAACTTTATTCTACGTTACAGTCTCACCTTGAAAAAAATGAATCAGAGACTCAGATTTTCCTACATGTTAAGAAGCCACAAGCTGGTGCATGTCTGTTGAGAAAGAGAGCCAGGCCTTTGGTCCTTGGATTTGGGTGACAGCAGGAGAAACCACGGTTTTATAGTAAAAAGAAACTAACTCCTTCCTTCCTTTGAAGCAATCAAGGTTGAGTGACTTGCCCAGGGTGACACAGTTAGTAAGTGTCTAAGGCTGGATTTGAACTCAACTCCTCCTGACTCCAAGGCTGGTGCTCTATTCACTGTACCACCTAGCTGCTCCTGCCAGTTCTTTCTCATTGTGGGGCGGAGAGGAATGTATGTATGTTGGTGCGTTTTTGGGGTGAGGAAGGTGTATTAAAACTTCTACTCCAGGTGTGAAGGGGCTCAACAGTTTACTACTTTTGTGAACCCAGCTAAGTTAATTTACCTCTCTGGACCTCAGTTTCCAAATCTGGTCATCTAGCGATCATAGACTCTTTTGATGTCCTGGGCTCTCTCTGTCCAACCGGCTGCTGCTTCTGTCCTAGCTCTTCCTCTTATGCTGGTATGTCTTCTTCCCCCCCCCCATTGTCTCATCTCTCTCTTCTCCGCCCACCCCTCCAAGCCTCAGCCTTGGATTACTCCCACCATCTGCTGCCTTCACTGCTGATTATCTCCAATAGATCTTGCATATATCTTGTTTGTACATACAGCTGTCTCTATTTTGTCTCTCTCTGAGCTCCTTGAGAGCAGGAACTGTCCTTTACCTTTCTCTGTATCTAGTAATGATGATGATAACAACAGCAGCTAACATTTATATATGCTTACTATATGCCAGGCACTACCATGCTAAGTCCTTTACAGGCATCACCTCATGTGGTCCTCAAAACAACCCTGGAAGATGGGGGCTATTGCTATCCCCATTTTTTCAGATGAGGAAACTGAGGCAAACAGAGGGGAAGTCACTTGCCCAGGGTCATACAGTAGTAAGTATCCACTTGAATTCAGTTCTTCCTTGCTCCAGGCCCAGAGCTCTGTGTATTGCGGCTGCCCCAAGCTGATAATGGTCTAAAACGGGCAGAGGAGGAGTAGGTGATTTCTAACCATGAAATCCACAAGATTTATCTTTCATAGGCAATTTTCATTCTGGAAACACTGCCCAGAAGGCGGAATTTCATGGCTGGACTTGGAGATGCCCCGAGTTTCCCTGCAGACCACAGCCATTCATTCACAAGGGAATTCATTCTGCACAATGTGTTGGAGTGTCGCAATGTGGGGGTCTATCCTGGCGGGCCCAAGGACAGTTTTGTTCCCTCCATGTCTACTTCAGCTCCTCCCTTTCCAGCCCCACAGAGTCACAGCAAGGCTGTCTGCACATAGCTTTAGCCAAGACCTAGACTCAGCACAATTCTAGCCCCAGCCTTGCTTTGGCTCTGATCTATGTGGGTGTGTGTATGTGGAGTGGGAGATGTGGGGGAGGGGGTGCTGGGCTGACAGTGCCTCAAGGGTAAGCAGCTCTGCATTGATCCTCACCAACTCAACTTATCACAGATGCAATCCATGGGCCAATTAGCTCACAGTTTGATTTGTTTTAAATGAGTAAATCTGTTCCCTAGATCTGCAGATTCAGCTTTCTGTAAGCATGTTTCTGTTATCAATGGAAGTGTGACCCTTGGACAGATCACTCTCCTGTTTGTAAAATGAAAGAGTAGGGCTCTGTGACCTCTAAGATCCCCCTCTGACATCCTGTGTTCTAAGGGCTCTCCCAGCTCTGACATTCTGTGTTCAAATAGTCCCCCCAGCTCTGACATCCTGTGTTCTAAGGGCCCTCTCAGCTCTAAATGCATGATCTCTGCCAGACATCTGCCTGGTGCTGCCTAGGAGAGGAGATTAGTAAGCATGTTTCTTCCATATTCCACCCCTTTCAGGATAGCTGCATTGGGCCCAATCAAGGCTTCAGGGTTAGAAAAAGAAAGAGGAAGGGAAGGAGAAACTAAGGGGAAAGCCTTCCACCTGGGGAACAGAGGAAGAAGCAATTAAGAAAAAAGGTCAGAGGTCCTGGGATTCCCACAAGGGTTGTTCAGAGAACTCTCATGACCCCATAGATCCTGGGGTTGCCTGTTTGAGAAACCTTGTTGTGTGGGCCAAAGGTTGTGGTAGGTTCAGGGAAGGCCCTGTTTTGAGGGGACGTATCTGTCAAGCAGAGCATCATGGCAGCACACAGCCTCTGCTCCCAATCCCCAGATGCCCCTGCTCTCAAGTCTCTCTAAAATGCATTGTTCCTCCTTGACTGAATGAGAGCTCTTCAATATCTCTTCTCTTGCTTCCCAATTAATTTTTTTCTCTCTTCTGATTTCACAGGTTGTCCACTTATCATAGGTACCCTTGGTTAACAGAACAGAGAAGCAACTTCAAGGCAAGCATATCCATTTCCTGTGGACAGTAGAGCAGCAGTGACATCCAGGCACCCGAGGACTTCGGGGTTGAGCATGAACTTGAATTGCATCAGCATCTTGGAAGCAGGCCACCTCTGGGGGTCCCAAGTCCCTGGGAGTACGCATCACTATCTCAGGGTGGAAGGCTCTGAAGGGACTGGCTAGGTCAGCCCATCCCTTAGGGGTGGCCATGGTCAACCAGGAGGAAAAAGGAAAGAGATGTACCATGGGAAGAGAAATAACAATGTGGAAGAGAGGCAATGCAGCTGCTGAGCCACGTTTCATTCCCAAGGTGGTGCAATGGTCACCATTAGAGAAACGGGCGCTCCCCCCTTTCTACCTGATCGATTCCCAACCATGTCCACATCTCACCAAGATAGCTGCCTCCTCCAGGAAGCCTTCCCTGGCTCCCCTAATTAGAAATGAGATCCCCCTCGCCTCCCCATGACCTCAAACACATTTTGCTTTATACCTCTCAAATTCACTTACCTGGTAATGGTGTGTATTACAATTGCTGGGTTTGTCTTAGCCTCGTACTTGAAGGTACGTGCCATGGAGGCAAGGACTGTCCTATCTAAATCTTGTATTTCCCCTCTTCCCTGCTCTACCTCTGCGTAAAACAATATTCTGTGCCCTAGAATTCAGCAAAAAATGTGTTGATTGATAAAGTATTTAAATTTAAGGTAGCAAATCTTCAGTCAAATTATGGACAGGTGACTCATTTAGATACTTATTCTAACATTTATTTATAATAGAGAGGAAGTGTGGCGCAATGGATAGAGTTGGCCTTGGAGCCAGAGAGACCTGTGGTAATGTCCTACTTTTGACATTTATTAGCTGTGTGACCCTGGGCATATCATTTAACATCTTAGTGACCCAGCTCTAAGCCTGTATTACTCTAGGACTGTATGTTACAAAGAACCTGCATTGGCAGAGAGTGTTTCCTCATCTGGGAGCTCCCTGGGCTAATGAAACCACAGATCTAGTCTATCCTTATCTGACTTTCACTCAATTTCATTTATTTTGTATATACTGCTTCCCTTATGAGATATATACATCTATCTAGACATCTACTAACCCATCCATCCATCCATCTACTCCACTCATCTACCCACCAATCTACCCATCCATCTATTCACTCACCTATCTACCTACCCATCTATCCACCCATCATCTACCCATTTAGTCATCCATCCATTCACCCATCTATCCATAGATCCATCCATCTATCCACTCATCTATCCACCCATCTATCCATTGATCCATCTATCTATCCATCTATCCATCCATCCATCCACTCATCCATCCAGCCATCCATCCCATCTTTAGATCATAAAATCCTAGACCTAGATCTGGAAGTGATCTCAGAGGTCATAGAGAAAGCCAGAAGAAGCTCCAGAGGCCACTAGTCCAATTCGTTATTTTACAGATGACAAAACTGAGCTTTAGGGAGAATAAATGTCTTGCCCAAGGTCACACAGGTCAAAAGCAACACATGGGACTTGCTTCTAGGCCCATTGGTTCTAGAGCAATATGTCAATTGAGAGCTTAAGGAATGAATAACATGAAACATGGTTTGTTGGGGTTTCTATAGGATGGCTGGACCCTGGTCCCAGTCACCCATCATCTCCTCATTCTATATCTGCTTAGGATAACAGACTTGGAATCATGGAAGATATGGGTTCAAATCCTATCTTAAGTATTTTCTAGGTGTGTGACCCTGAGCAAGTCACCTAACCCAGAAGTGGGAAACCTGTGGCCTTGAGGTCACATGTGGTCCCTCTAGGTCCTCAAGTGTGACCCTCTGACTGAATCTAAACCATGGCCTCGAGGCTGCAGGTACCCCACCCCTGATAACCTGTCTGCCTCAGTTTCCTCAACTGTAAAATGGACTCACTGGCCCTCTACCTATGCTCCTACCATGCAGTGGCACCTTGTGTACCTGTATGAGCACACACTCACCGCCATGTACATGCATGCCTAGACACATGCAGATCATAAGATAGCGGCACAAGGACAATCGGCCTTACTTTTCTGTGCTGCTCATAGTTCCGGATGAAGTCCCGAAGCTGCTCCTCCCGGCTCTCCAGGGTGGCATAGAGCTGTTGCATTTGGCTCACGAGGTCTGTCTTTTCGGCCTTCAAACGCTTTCTATCGGCCTTCATGGCTAAGAGAAAGAGATAACAGGGTATTAACATGAGACTGACTTGGAAGGCGGCTTTTTCTTGTCTCCGCCTTCTTCCTTTACCAGGCCCTCCCTGAAGCAGCACTGATTTCTGATGCGGAAGGAGGCCATGGCCCAGCCTGCTGGGAGGGGCTTTGGGACCCCTTGTCTTGACTTTGTGGGGCCAGACAGCAGCTGGTTTGAACACTGGGTTCTACTGAAATGAACCACAGAGCTCCCTGAAAGCCAGTGAGGAGAAGTTGTCAATCCACCCTGGCCAGAGACACTGCCAACTGTTCCTGTACCCATGGTTGGGGACCCAGCTTGATTAAAATATGAAACACCTCACCTGGAGAGGAGCCTCTTAGAAAGTAAACAAGGCTTCTTCATGCTACTGAAACCCTCTTTGTCTCTTCCTAGGCTTGCCATCTGTCAAAGGATTTCCTAGCGCTAGTGTCAGAAGAAGGCAGTCCAAGATCCATCAGGAGGAGACACACTAGGAGTGGGGGAGCAGCCGTCCCTCTGAAGGGATCTTACAATTAACGAATCAACAAGCACCTTTTAATGATTAACAAGCACCTACTATGTGCCAATAGAATCCCTATCTGGTGGACAGACACCTGGCCTTGAAGCTGGGAAGACACAGGTCTAGCCAGTGACACATGCAAGCTGTGTGACCAGTACTTTGGGAAATGACAAATATGGGATGAAAAGAAGGTGCTGGCTCGCACTGGGAGAGGAAGCTTCCTCATTCAGAAATGACCAAAACCAGAGGGTGAGGCCCTATCCCTGTCTTACTGTTTGCAAAGTACCATGGCTGAGCTAATGATGGCTTCATAACTGGACAGCCAGGCCCTCAGTCCTCACGCTCATCCATTCCCACAAACAAAGTCAGAATAATAAAGGCAACGATTACATGTAAAGTATGCGGTAGAGTAGAGTGGACAGAGTGCTGGTTTTGGGAGTTGGGGAGGAAAGGGAGGGAGGGAGAAAAGGAGGAAGGAAGGAAGAAGGGAAAGAGGGAGAGAAAGAAGAAAAGAAGAGGAAGGATAGAGGGAAGAAGAAGGCAGGGAGGAAAGAAGAATGAAAGGGAAGAAGGGAGGGAGGGAAGAAGGAAGGGAAGGAGGGAGGTAGGAAGGAACAGAGGAAGGAAAGGAGGGGAGAGGAAAGAAGGAAGAAAGGAGGTAAAAGGGAGGGAGGGGAAAAGAAGGAAGGGAAGGAGGGAGAGAAGGAAGAAGAGAGAGGAGGGAAAGAAGGAAGGAAGGAAAAATGAATGGAGCAGAGAAGGGTGGGGGAAGGGAGGAAGAAAGGAAGGAGGAGGCAAAAAGGAGGGAGAGAGAAGAGAGAGGGAGGAAGGAGGAAGGGAAGGAGGGAGAGAAGGAAGAAAAGAAGAGGAAGGAAGGGAGAAAGAAAGAAAAGGAGGGAGGGAGAAAGGGAAAGAGGGAAGGAAGAAGAGAGGAGGGGAGGGACAAAGAAAACACTAAGTGGCGGGGATGGGGCACAGCACCTGCTCCACAGTGAGAACACCACCTGCCCTAGAGGCCAAAGCACCAAAGTGGAAGGAGACAGATGGGGTGCATGAGGCAGCACTTTGTAAGATTCTCTTTGGACTTTAAGCTGGCGAGACCTCAGGTATGATCTGGTCCAATCTCCTCATTTCCCGAACAAGGAACATGAAGCTAAAGAAAGAAGTAACCTGACCATGGCCTCCAGGGCAGTAATGTGAACTAGAGCATGCGGCCCCTAGCTCGGGCTCTTTGCATGTCCCTGTTCTGCCTCTTTGGCACCCCCCACCCCCCACCCCAGGAGTTAACATGAATTCCACTCCTCTGGCCCTGAGAGAAGCCCTCTGGAATCCAGGGCTCACATTCCTCTCATCACCATGACAGCCGAGGGCTGGAGAAAGCTGGGAGAAGTCATTAACGTGTTACCTGGGTGATTTTTCTATCAGGGAAAATGAGGGTGGCCCCTCCCCCACTGCAAAAAGGAGCTGCCCTAATGGGAGGAGGCAGTTTCCACCACCAGATACCTTCCGTGCTCTCTTTGCCCTCCTCCTCGCATCCCCAAGGAAAATAACCTGGCACAGATTTTGCTTCAAAAGCTTGGAGGAGCCCAGGGATGGGGTGGCTGGCGGCATTATGGCGTTCCATAAGAAAAGAAGCCCAAGGTTCTGAAACATTCCAGCAATACCCCCTGGAAACCCCTCCAGCCTGGTGCCCTGTTTGGGGTCTCCATGGTGAAACCTGCCCTCCTGGGGCAAGTGTCAAGACAGCAGGGAATGGGGGCAGGGAATGCCTAGGCAGGCTCGGTGCTCAGATTTAGGACCTCATCATCAACCCCTCTCATGAAGGAGGAAGTGGGAAGATTGCTGCATATGGAGTCAGAGGCCCTGGGTTCAAATCCCAGCTCTACCACTTACACTAGGTGACCTTGGGCAAGTCACTTACCCTTTGGGTCCTCAGTTTCCTCATATGTATAAAGAAGCAATTGAACTCTGAGGTCCCTCCCAGTTCTAATGGAGGATCCTATGACCTGGGTTCAAATCTCAACTCTGTCACCTGTGTGACCCTGGGCAACTCAAATAACCTCTTTTGATCTTGTTGTTTTCAGTCACTTCGGTTATATATGACTATCTGTGACTCCATTTGGGGTTTTCTTGGCAGAGATAGTGCAGTGGTTTCCCATTTGCTTCTCCAACTCATTTTACAGATGAGGAAACTGAGGCAAACAGGGTTCAGTGATTTCCTCAGGGTCACACAGCTAGTAAACGTCTGAGGCCACATTTGGACTCAGGTCCTCCTGACTCCAGGGCCAGTGATCTAGCTGCCCTAAATAACCTCTTAGGGCCCCAGCAACCTTTAAGACTGTAAGTTGGAGATCATGTACCCATCTGCATTGATAGAGGGAATTTTCTTACTAAGAGTTTTCTATAGCAATAGCATCACAGGTCCACTTAAAAAAAACACACAAACAACTCGATATTATCATTATATTTGTCAAGCCTCAAACTGCCTTTTTCATGCTCATAAATACGTGTCTTTCCCCAGCAAAACTCATCCCCAAACACTTCTAAGCTAGACTTGCCGATGACAATCTAAGAAATCTGTTGTCTCTAGATCTGGCCCCTGCTCCTCGGCAGCCAGCCCCTGCCCCCAGTTTTCCTCCCTAATCAACCTGGTTCACTCGGGCATGTCCCATTCCACTGCAACTCCACCAGAACCATTGCCATGGTGACGGATGATGTCACACCACAGGAACTGTGGTGAATGCACATCACAATAGGAGACCAGCCTCCCAAGGACTCCAGGACCTGACGGAGGGTGTCGGAGAGGGAAAAAAAAAGTGGTAGTTCTGTCCCCAGCTGGTAAAGGGGACAGGGGAGGTGCAAATATAGCCAGGTCCCAGAAATAAGTCTGTTGTGTAATAGCATGTCCAAAACCCTGCAGAATCTCTGCAAGAAGGGATCTTGGATGCCACCTAGTGTGATCTGTAACTAAACAAAGAAGATCAATCGCTGGCTGGGAAATCTGAAGACCTTGAGTGCAAATCCCAACTCTGCTCCTTCCTATTTGTGTGACCTTGGGCAAGTCACTTAACTATTGTAAGCCTTAGTTTCCTCCTCTGAAAAAAAAAAGAGGGGAAAGGTTGGACTAGATGGCCTCCATGTTCCTTTCCAACTCTAAGTCTAGGGTGGACGAATAACGAATGGATGCAATGTTATATGCTGACCATGCACTGAGCAGTAGGAGAAGAGCTTGGGACACACCCAGAAAACAGACCACACTCCTTGTCATCTCTGATTGGAGGATTGCAGGATGGATGGACAGGCCCCCAAACACTAAGGGTGCCCTAGATGCATCTATGACTCGCTGGCTAGGAGTCATCTAGTCTTGGCTTGAAATCCAAATGAAAAGGCGATCCACTGCCTCTCAAGGAAGTCTATGATTCCATTTCCATTGTAGGGGGCAACTAGGTGGCACAGTGGCTAGAGCACCAGCCCTGGAGTCAAGAGGACCTGAGTTCAAATCTGGCCTCAGACACTTAACACTTACTAGCTGTATGACCTTAGGCAAGTCACTTAATCCCATTGCCTAGCTAAAAAAACAAAAAGAACAACAAAAAAAACCCATTTCCATTGCTCTGCCAGTCATCCTCAGGAATGTTTTCCTTCTATAAAGCCTCAATTTGCATCTTTGCATCCTTCGCCCATAGTTCCTCCTGCCCTCTTGGGCTGAGTAGAAGAAAAAGTCACAGTCACAGCATGTGAGAAATGGAAGGACCTCAGTGACCATCTAATCCACTCTATACCTGAAAAAGATTATTCTCGACAATACAACTGACAAATGGCTAGGTGACCTTCACTTTCAGTGCGGAAGAACCCAATACCTCCAGGGGCAGCCCATTTCACTTCTGGACAGCTCAAGATTGTTAGCATTAACAGCAAAGAAAAGGAGGCATCCACTGAGCGGGGAACGAATATTACTGTGTTGTAAGAAACGATGAAAATGAAGAATTTATTATACAGTTTTCCCTTCCACATTGCGACTTTCCCCATCGCAGTTTTGATATACTGCAGATCGGCATCAGAAATTAAATGTGAATTTCTGGGGAGTTTTGCAGAAGCCACAGAGGACACAGAAAAAAGTTAGAAACTCAGAAATGCATAAAATACATGCATAGTATTATATAATATCAATCCAAACTTCACAGTAAAGTGCTATAAACACCCCATAAAAGAAAAAGAAAAAATTCAGACTTCTCTGGTACGAAGAAAAGGCCAAAAATTTTTATAAGGATTTTCCAGATTGTGGGGGATGCCACATCCCTAATTCCCATGATGTGGAAGGGTTAACTGTATTTAATGATATCAAGGGAAGTTAGCAAAACCAGCAAAACTATGTGCTGTAATGACTACAATGCAAATGGAAAGGATGTTCTATGTTCCACAAAAGATGGAAACTGAACACTGGGAAGTTATAATGACCACACTTTCTGCTTCTTGT